AGAAGAGTGGCATTGTTTTACATTTTTGCAAATCCCTTCAAAGTCGGGCTTAATAGAAGGCAGCTAGATTACCATTCTTCTGCATTCACCTTGTTGTAGTATGTTATTGTGGTTAAAGTATGTAAGGAAAATTAGTCCCAACTTGAATGTAAGTAGGAAAAGGGAGGAGATTTTAATAGTACAGTACTTTTAAGTAATTGTCAATAATCGTCTTTGGTACTATACGCAAACTTGACAAGGAAATTGCAGTGTGGAATCTGAAACAACAGTAACGAACCTTTGGAACTTGTTAAGTTAAAAGCCACTGGTTTTCTTGTACTTTGAATGGATTGTTTGCCCATCCATGATTTTGTAATATGATATAGAGGTAATTTGGAAAGTATTGGTTCACTGAATTATTCAGATTTTCCACATGTTGATAGATTACATTATATAATATATAAAATCACATTGGTTAATAGCACTATCACTCTCATTAGAAAGCTCTAAGTATTGGGAAGTTGTATCTGGGTAGCAGATATAAATTTTCCAAAACTCTGATTACTACCCGAAAGCACTTGTATTTTATCTTTGGTAGCAAATACTGTCAGTTTTCTTTGAAGTAACAGACTTGTTTTGGTCATTTTTGATAAAATGTCTGCCAAATACCCAACTCTGAATAACCATAGTTTCTCAATTATTCTTTCAAATAAACATGGTGAATGGTGTTCCAAGAAAAGGGGTGGCTAGTTCAGCTCATAACTTAAAACAGTTTCAGAAGTTGTTTGCCTTGAGAAAACTGTACTTTTTTAGGCAGAAGTGCTTTATGCTTGCTTTCATTTTGTCATATATAATATTAAAAAAATGTTTATTCATGGATCAGGATTTAATAAAATTAATAGTTTTTACTGCTTAATAAAGATATCCTTAAATGAAACTGGCATTTTTTTCTTTGTTCTGTGAGTGGGTGGTAGTGAAGAGTAACAGTGATCACTAGTACCGTTTGCTGCTACTGCCTTGATTTGTTCTAAGACGCTGGCAGTTTCACCCACC